AATGGTCTGCCGGCAGGTATTTATAAATTTTATAGATAGATTACTTTGTCGACATATCTACCAAACGAAAAAATAACCTCAATACTAAAAAAAATTTCGATATAAAAAATTATCACCATATTTGTAATAAGTTTTTACAACTTCAACGCGTTCAGTGGTTGCTAAACGATCCATATTATTAAATGAAAACCTTAAAATAAACTGACACATTACTGCAGGTAATATTATCAGTATTTAAACAAAACTCATTACTATTCTTTTGTAGATAATGAAAGCAAAAATTGTATAACAACCAATCGCGGTGGTTTCATTTGTAGATAATTAAGAAAAAAATTGTATAGGAACCATGGATATTTTAGCCACAATTTAAAGTAGCCGTAATATGAAAGTGTATACTTTTTAAAATTATAGAACTTAAAAGTTTTAACAACAGTATCCGAGGATAATAAAAAGCTTTTAGATTGCTACAAATATTGAAACACTACTCCATTTTTTATTGATACCAGTGTACTGTGACCAATAAAAACCATTCATAAATATAACCATAATATATTATTCAGGCTAAACTTTTATTTGTCAACAGATTTAATATATGAAGCTTATTCGTATCTAATAATACTATTTGATATGTTAAGAATCTTATCCATCAAAATGTTAATGTAATACTGAATAAAATGTAAATTAAATAACGTTCTCAAGAACTTTGCACTTTTCTTACGGCATCACATTGAATATTATTACAAAAGATTTTCATTATATAGAATTCATTGGACCTCAGTATTTGAACTTGCAGATTGACATATGGAACTACTTGAAGTAAGTCCATCCTTACACGAAAAAATCGTATTTAGCAATGCAGGTTATGTCTGTTTAAATGGTCCCATAATAGGAGATATTGAAAACCCATATGATATTCATAAAACACATTCAAGGTAAAATTTTGACTTTCATCGTTATATATGATGTTTAACAATTTTATTAGAATTGATATATATTTAGATTATACTGTTAATAGATTAAAGATTACTTTAAAGTGATTAAGTATAATAATGGTAATGTTTATATAATCTCTTTTATATTATTTTATATACCTATATCATTTAAATAACTATGTACAACAGTTTTTGTATTTCTTTGAAATATATTAATTGAAGTGAGTATTAATTCATTGTTCATATAGAATAAAAATAAGAGTAAGAGATATACAAAATAATTTTTTTTATAAATATATGTATACCTTTTCTTAAAATCCGTTTTGCCGCAGGTATTCCGAAAGATATCCGTATGTAGTTCGAAGAACTTTAACACAAGTTTTTTTTGTGTTAAATATTTTATAAAAATCGAATTAGAACTGCAGTTGATATATATTTATATATGTATATAAATTTAACATATAATTAAAAATTATTTAATCATTCTATACACGCATTTAGCAATATTATTGTAAAATTTTATTGATTATTATTATTATTATTATTGTTGTTAACAATACTTAATGTTTTTAGACACTTAAAAAATTTTAAATATTAAGTAAAAAAATAAATTGTTATAAAAAAATTTTTTAATTACATTTTTTACATGTTATTGAATATTTTTATTATATTTACTTTTTTGTTAAAATGTTTTTTTTGTTTTTCTTTAATGTGTGTAAATTCATTATTGTAAAAATAAATATACAACAATATTTAAGTATTCACAACAGCAACAACAGAACTAAATACACAAACCAAAGAACGAAAATCACTGGCTTATTTCTTCCGATTATTATTATTATTATTAAAAAATATTTCTTATCCGATCAGAAACACAACAAAACGCGATGAGCAGAGAAAAGCAATTATACACGAAAATCATATGAACTCTACAAATGGACCAAAAATCCAGCGGAAATATATGCATACAACACATATTTACAACACCATCCGTTATTGGTATGTGATGAGTCGGTAGTGGGCTTGTATTTTCATATAGCGGAGGGAGGCAGCAGGCTAAACCAACACAAGCGCAACAATGAATGAATGAAAATGACGGACGATGACAGCGATGTGTACGAGCAACAACGGCAACGGCAACAGCAACGGCCACAACCGCGTGTCATACGCTGCCAAAGAACAACAACAAATGAGATTATGTGTTTTTTTAATGCACATCAACGATACAAAATACACAACAAAACACTAACAATACAACAACTCAACAACACAACAACAACAACACAAAATTATTTAAAGGAATCACATAGCATATTTAAACGAGTATGCATTATTTGTAACGTGACTGACGGTTTGGTGTGACATGCTGAGATTCCAACATTTGGCCGATTATGTACTCTCTCACGTATATTTACATTAATATTACGCGAATAGTATATATAAACAAACCTACAGAAATGTACACAACTCCTGCGCAGTGTGAATCGGAAATGCGAATGTGTTTTGTTGCATACAACTTGTATATCAAATACATACTAATATACTATATATATGTACATATATTTAAGAGATATAAATGTGTTAGTTAGTTTTTTATAAATGCAACCATACATAGAGGAGTATTTCCTTTAATTCATTTACAATAGCATATAAGCCTATTATGGCCGCTGCCATCTGATACGATCATAAATGATCTATAAAATTTATTCAAAACAAGAAAATCATTTTGCAATTTGTGGAAATTCATTTTACATATAGGCCAAATTGATTTTAATGCAATTTCCTTCAGTATAAACATTTTTTTTGTGTTATTATAAACAATATATAAATGCAATAGGATAGATTGATATTTTCAAAACTTAAAGAATATATAACTTAAAGAATATATGTTTAGAATAGTTAAACTAAACAGATCAAAAAATATAATATAATGACTAGAAAATTAATTAATAAGGAAAAACTCCAGTGGACTTAAAACCTTACCTACTTAGTTGGAGTAGCCCACGCCAGCTCATTTACGGGTAGTTGTACAAATTTCTGCACCATATAGCAGCACAGGCATGAAAAGATACTTTTTGAGTTAAAATCTTCTAAGATGAAAATAAAATAGAAATATTTTTAAATTTAAAATATTACACTTAAAAACCCAATATTCGAGCTGCCCAGATATATTAAAGTAAGTTACTACTTACTTAGTTAGCTATTACAAACGTGAGTACTCGTTGGGCGCGCCCAGTCGCCTCTCCCAGCCAAGCTACTGACCCAAGCTTTTGCACCATGCAGCAGGACAAGCATGATAAGAGGCTTGTAGAGTTGAAATCTAATCTAAGAAATTAAAATTAAAAACAAATATTTTTAAATATAAACTTCTTTAAAAACCAATATTGAAGCTGCTCGGATATAGTACAGTAAGTTACTAATACAAAGCTTGAGGCGCTACAGCCTACCCTCCGAAACTCATTAAAGTACTATATTTATACGTATTCATTAATAATGCTATATTATTTTTATGCAGTGACTACTAGTTTCTGTTCATTGACCTGATGTTAGGAACAATATTAGTTTATAGATAAATGGTAGATAAATGATCTATTATTAGTTTATTTGTTAAGTGTCTAATGAAAGTATAAAAAGTATCTTCACCTTTGTAATTTTTTAAGATTTAATTGTACAATCCGAATATTTAATACAACACGAAACATTATGCTACTGTTTTAAGGATCCTACCCAAATTTATGTCCTGTTCTTAAAAATCATATGAAGAATGATCGTTTTGATTAAATCGCCACAGTGTTGTGATCAACAAAAACTAATCTAAATCATGTTTGTGTACCATATATATTGTTTGGTGAGCAATCCTTAGCATATTGTTTGTATAATTTCTGTCAACAGTACATTCTAGATTAATGTTATTCAACCTACACTATTCAACATGTTTTGCAAGGGCCTGCCTCACTTTATTAACAAAAAATAATATCGTTGAAAACAAAACCATATTTTGCGAACCAGTAACGATTCGCGGATTAAAAAAATCTGCTCTAACTACTAAAGTATTAAAAACTAACCTACTTTACATTTTTTTAATATCATATTATCTGGAATAATTATTAATTCCAGAGATTATTGCACTACTTTTCTGATTCTTCGGTTCTTCTTCTTTCTCAGCTTTATAATTATTTAATTTGTATTTTTACTTAGAATTACTTAGAATTTAAACTGTACTTAGAATTAAAACTGTAGTTTTAGCGTCTGAATAGTAAAATACTAATCAGTCTAAGATTTAACATCTATATAAATAAGCTTAAATATTAATAAACTAATGTGTAAATCAATTTTATAGAAAAAAAATTGAAAAGACAATCAAGAATACAAGTATTAAAGGTATCAATCTGAACGTCCTTTGAAAAAGAGAAAGAAATTGTACTTTAAAAGGGAAAGATCGTGTAATTAAATCAGCATCTACCCTGTCGTCACTCAATATATTCTGAATATATTATTAATAAAGGCTGAATATTCTTTAAAAAAGTATCGCCAAAAAATCTTTTTTGATATCGAACTGTTGCCCAACCAGGAGTTTATAAGTTTGGCATGCAAAGAAGTCAAATACTAACCAAAACAGAAAATAAAAACAATTCGAAACTGAAGATAAACACGTCAAAAGCGCTAAAAAGTCAAGCCCATTGTTTTCTCCGATATTCGACGATTGATATATCGTATTATAAATTCACTCATGAGACACAGACAATCAATAAAGAATACTATTTAGCCTATTACCATTAAAAACATTACCAATTGACTAAGTATGATTTGTGATATTTGACATCTATTGGATTATAAGTTTTTACGCTATATATTCATTATATTCTATTATAATCCATTGATATTTCCATAACGATATTCCATTCAATCTTTTAATAAGGTGAAAAATCCAAAATCGCATTATCTTCTTTACTCGAATTTTTTGCTTAGATTTTATAAGTTCATTCAAACTTTGAATTTTATTGAAACAAAAATAAAAAAACAGTTATTTTTAATTAATTTTTATATATTTATGTTAATTCTGTACAATTAAGTATAAAACAAAATAACGCAATTGTGTAGTCGATTTTTTGATCAAAGTTTAAAGGATGTAATTAAAATCAGTAATATTGAATTATTTTAAATAATTTTGAAAAACTAGCAATAATAATATATAAAATTATATTTCTTAGTGCATTCTTGTAAGATCTTCAACTATTTTGATGACATCTTCAACTTCTGCAAGCTTTCTCTCGCCATTAACAGTTAGCTGGAAAAAAAACAGAAAATAAAAGTTTAAAATATATATATTTTCTTTATTAATAGATTTTAAAAATTTTAAAACATACTTCCAAGCCAGTTACAGCGGTTTTCATTTGTTCTCTAGTCAAGTCCAGAAAGCTCTCAATTAAAACTCCATCAATAAAGCCCTCACTAGGTTCAGTTTTGAGTTGTGTATGAAAACTTCTGAAAAATGAGTGTTCAATGCTACCCAAAGATTTGATAACAGAACATAATCTCTCTTCCAAACTATGCAAAAAATCATAAAAGTCGACTGGTATTTGTGTTACTATACCGATAGCACCATTTACAGTGCCATAAAGTACGCAACCGGTAGTAGGTGTCGTACGTTCGCCAACATTTTGCATAACTAAAGATCCATGACGAAAAACATTTACAATATCTCCCAAATGAAAACGTGCTACCTCAGGCAACAACTGCCGTTCTTCGTCTGTTGTAGCTGCACTAAAAATGTACATATGGTTTAAAAATTTACATTTTGCACCTTTCTCTGAATGAAGTTTACCTGTCTTTTTGGCACACAAATAAATTGCCGTGAGTCTCAGAACCTAGAAAAGTATCATCATCTAATATTTCTACTGCTCTCATCCATTTAGGATCGCAATCTCTAGCAATCTCAACGAATATTCCCTCCATTTGCTTATGTTGCAATAATGTTAGAGATCGCATTAAGTCTCCAACCAATATAAAATCGCCTTTAGATATAGAAAAAATTTAATTTAAATTCATATATTGTATTAAAAACAAATAATTAACCTTTAGCTTTCAAATATAAAACTGATATATTATTTTGTATGTTACACTCCATACGTAATTCCTTTTCATTTGTCCACTCGTATAATCTCACGAAACTGTTTATGCCAGCCAATACTTTTCCATTAAATTCGACTAAAGCGTGACACGATCCATCAATTTTAGTTTCTGCTACTTGATTTAGTTTCCCTTCATTATAATGAAATATTATAATACGACCGACTTTTGGTTCTGCATCATCAGGATTTACAAGTGCAGTGGAAACAACATAATACGTATTAGGATCATCTCCTAGTTGACCAGACATTAGAGTAACAATAGTTTCAGTAGGCATAAATTGATGTGCATGTAATACTTCAAATGTATTCTGATCAATAATGAGGAAATTATATATTTCAACTTCGTCATTTAGATCAGTACTACCTCCCGATGCACTAGAACCACCAGGCTTTGGTACAATACTGGAAGCATAAGTTATATTCTGAGCATGTGTTGAGGCACTCGGTCGAACTGCTTTAGGACCATTACGTCCTTGCATATCAATGCGTACAGTGGCTACACCAAAAGTTTGTGATGATTCCTGATAAGCTATGCGTCGAGGTCCTTCACCTAACGGAACTGTACGTATATGCAATTTTTGTATTTCATCCATTGTACCAAGTATTATAGAGCTTTTAGTAGCCAAAGCTAAGCTATCAGGATATGCCTGCGCATTAAGTGAGCACATATGATTTACTTCCTTAAGATTTACATTCGAAAACACAAGTTTATGATTAGACGAATAAATAACAGTTGGACGATCAGAACAAGCAAAAACATTGGTAGTAGCAAGCGATTTAAAAGTACGTAATGATGTAGGTTGTGTGCCAAGAGTGACTTTTTTCTTTTCGGTTAAATGTCCTGTTATCTTATCCAAAATAAAGTAAAACATAGACCCATCACCAAGCGCACAGAGTAGGTAATTAACATTCTCAAATTTTGTCATCAATATAGAACGCGGAATTATTTCTGCAAAAATATAAAATTAATAAAAAGACAATTTGTAAAAAGTTATTTTACCTCCTCCTAGTTTTTCAGTGTACATCGTATCAAGTTTTGGTAGGGATAAAATAACTGCAGATATATCTGTCCACAAACCAACAGCAACTAAACTAGATTTATTTTTGTCATCTTCAACTGGCGTTATGTCAAGGCAAGCCACTTCATAATCCAACGATTTATGACATATTTCGACTAAACCTCCATCGGTAATTTCAATATAATAGATCTCGCGGGCTGATGCAATCACAATCTGAGATGAATTACAAGCAGTTACACCGATTCGCCTATTATTAGATAATGTCCACTCATCAACTAAACTTTTTGTCGTACTTTTAATCAAACGAATTGTTTGTGGTGTGACTTGTATTATCTAAAGAAAGGAAAAGATATATATGAAACTTATTTTAAATTAAATTAACAATTCTACATGCCTGTTCAAAATCTACGTTAGCGCATTGAAAGGTCTGTTGATCACTGAGAAATCCAGGAATATCTGTTTCTTCCACTTCTTCACCAGTTAAGGTTAATATACGTGTATGTCCAACGAATGCCAAAACTAGTGTGTTCTCATATTCACTATCATCGATACCCACTTTAAGAGACCACATGCCTTTAATACCTGGTAAATCAATAGATGCATGCTCCTGTATCCCAATTCCGATTCTAATATATATACACATATATATATAATTACATATATATATATATATAATATATATATATATATACATATATATACAGTTAATAAAAATATTCATATTTTCAAATATATGTTTCAATATACATTTGCACATTATTAATTAAATATTTATACATATGCATTTCTAACAATCAACAAAAGCAAAACCAAAATATGTACTACGGTATAATATTTTAACAAATGGCAATATATATATTTATAATAAGGCAGTAATGAGTATATTGGTTTGGTATACATATCAATATTTCAATCGGGGATTTAGATAAAAATTATTAGCTATTTCAGTAGTGAACATAACAGCTATATGATTTGCATGTGAATTGCATATAAAAAATTATAATTGATATTATAGAACATATAGTATAAACTTGCATTAAACAAAATTAAAATATTCTCAACATCATGTACTAAAATAATAAACTTAAGCAAAGTGGATAGTTTTCACTAGGGTTCAAAATATATTTATTTTTTATTTTAATTTTTGAAATAAAATTAAAAATATTAATATTTTAAGTATTATTTAATAGGTATAATTAAAAAGTATATAATAATTAAAGGAAATAATAATAAATAAAAAGTAATAAATTTATTTGTCAGTAAACCACAAATACAAAAACATTACCAGAACAACACCAAACTAAATTTTCGTTATGACAACAAAAAATTGATATTAATTTCAAAGTAAACCACTATATTCAACGCATGTAGTCACAGACACATTACTCAATATACCCCAGATTATATACTCAATGACAAAGTGCCAACAAAGCACACTAAAATAAGAAAATAGTTTCGCAAGAAAAAATGTTTGTAGTTAAACAAGAAAAAAATCAAAAATCGGAGATATAACCGATATTTTATACCGATATAATTCTTTCAAATTAAATACTGGGTACTATATACGCTCTGGATAAAAGGAACATTTTTTTGGTGAAACTGCGCTTAAACGTCATTTTGTGACCACACCCAGACATAAGGTTCTAGAATTAAATTTTTAAAACCATATTCGCCGATTAGTTTTTAAGACCAGTTACAAAAATGCAATAAAATAGAATATAAAATTATGTTAACAATATTAAAAAAACTATATATTCCAATTTGGGGTATAGTTTTAAGACCGTGAGAGCAAAACGCTAAACAATTATTATTAAACATGCCATGTTAAACAAAACATTATTATTATTTATATTTACAATTAAATACTCGTAAATATTCACACATGACCCTAAAAAATTGTAAGCTTATATTATTACCTTATTATTCTAAGCGAACCATCTTTAAAAGTGCCAGAACATGTAATAATCTGACCTTGGCCTTGTCGATCTAAATCAACAACACCTAAATCAAGAATTGGGGCAAGATTTGTTATATTCTCCACAGGAACAACATAAGTGCCACTTTCATTTGCATGGGATGCTAATTGTACTAATTGCGAGTCTCCATGTCTGGATCCAACAAATAAAAATCCATTGTCCAAATAAGTCAAACATTCCGGTATTGAAATTTCACCTACTTTGGGTAGTGATTAAATGTTTACGAACAATAACTAAAAACTTTCATATACCTAAAAGCTCCACTTTAATTTCCTTTACAACCGTTACTCCATTGCCATTATCACCTTGTTCCAAAAACAGCATAAATAATTGCCCATACATGTTTCCTAATAGAAAGCGGTGACCTCTATTATCTAAGCGAGCATAACAATTAATAACACTTTGCTGAAATAAAATACATTATAAATATCGCATCATCTTAATTTGATATTTAAATACCTTAAATGTTGAGGGAGCTATAGCGTGATAACTGCTACCATCATGATAAACTATAGATTCACGTCCAATTACAATGGCACCACCTATTCATGCGAGTAAATTATAACTTATAACATATAATATAATCAACAAAATTAAGTTCATTTGAGTTAAAATAACCAAACCTTTATTTTGGTCTAGCAGATTTTAAATTTTACTGTATATTACATTGTTTGTTTCAAACAAATATATTATATTTAAATCTGTAAGTCACTAAACAAACTTAAAAAATTGTTTTATTTTAACTCCATATATTATATATTTTTCATTAATAAATATGATATAAATAAATTATAAATTTTTACCAAGTGGAGTTGGAACTGGAATGATTAGTGTGGATTCCGTTTCAACATTATCCTGTTTCCAAGCAATTTTTGTAAATTCTTTTTCGCGAAGATTTATTTCATGTGTTTTAACATGTCTTCCATCGTTGTCTTTATGTATAACAATGATTGTGGGATTAACACAACCATATAAGAACTCCACATCATATACAGTTAACTCGTCCATTCTATTATAAAATTATAAATAAATACAATTATTAATAATATTTTCCCCATTATTTTTCTACACTTACCGTAAATTCGTTGCTTTTAACTCACTAGAACTGTGATCCAGTGGAACAATAGTAAATAATCCTTTGTATAAACACATACCAACTACCCGAGCCTTTGGATCAATAACTGCAATAACACCACCTTCAGCACTTATACCGACTGGATCAGAAACAGTTCCATCTGCTTTAGTATGAACTTTTATGACACCGTCTTCTTCAATGAATTCCAATATCATTACATTATACCGTTGAGTTAATATAAAAACTAAATCTTTTTTGCCTTCCTAAAGGAATTATAATTATAGTTATAGTTATTAAAATAACATAGTTTAAATTGAATAAATATTTTCAACTTACAGGGGGTCTAAAATGTCGCATAACAGCAATCTGTCCATTGATATTAACTTCCTTCAGTGGACGCAGCCCTTCCGGCGTAACTAAATCGATTTCTAATTGGCTATTTCTTGCAATGACCAAATTTAAGTCTGTCGGAGACGTGAAGTTTCCTGAAAAGCGCAAATAAAATTTAAATGTAGCAAATTTATACAAAAGAAGCACATTATGCATTGAATAATGGTTCTTGTGTTTAAGGTCACGTTTTCGAATTCATAAAATGTAGCATTTCATACCGGCTTTTGTAGGTATATTATATTCTATGTTTTTATTAGCACATTTTACACATTATAAGTTATTTATATAATAAGCACAATAATTTATTTAGTTAATCGTTTATTTCAGATATAATACAATGTGTTTAAATAAAAAAGTTTACTTACCGCATACACAAGCAATCACAGCCGTAGGATTCTGAGCCGTAACTACATAATGATGTGACATCTTTATGAACAAAAATGTTCAGCAATAGATTTTTATTGTAGAAAAATAGATTTACTTATTTATTAAATAATCAATTTACTGTCAACAGCAACAGATATTTTTAATTCGAGACCCGCTGCATGCAAAATATGCAATATACTATGAACTCTCACCGCCAACTGAACAAGCTGCCAACAATAAATATTACAAAAAGTGTTGCCATTGCATAAAATTTAAATATTTAAGTAAGTTTAAATAAAATACAAGTTATTCAGATTTTTGAGTTTTAAAACTCTATATCTACAAATTTTATATCTCACTAAACAATACAAGCAATTTAGTATATTACTTTAAAAAAGGTCCAAGATGTTACTGTTTTTTGTTGAATTTATATTGACACACATGATACATTAGCCGTAATTTTTTTTTTTTGACAGTTGTAAAAAAACATCATTAAGTCTGCTTGAAAAAAGTTGGCATCACGTTTAAGATATATTAAATGCTACTTTGTAATATATGTTTTCTATTGTGTTGTATACAATATAAATTATAAAACTTGTAAACACTGAAAATTAATTAATTTAAAGAAAATATTAATTGAATTAAACAAAATGAATTTTAAGCATGATATAGACGATACTACATATCTGCACACCAAGTATAAAGTTCAAGTATGCGTTTTTTTATATACTTTGAAACAAGGTATGCATATTTCATTTTAAATTATTTTCTACACCGTTCATAACAAAAGCGAAGCAAATACAGAGTGCGAAACAGTAATCGAAACTGAAGAAATTGAGATGATGATGATAGCAACATGTTGTTTATTTCATTATATTAAGATTTCATATTTCTTAGAATTAAACATAATTTTTTATTTTAATTCTTAAAACTAAAATTATTTCTAATTTAATTCTTTAAAATGTTCCATTTTAATATATTTATTCACAAAATAATTTTGTAAATATAAAAACTTATAAAATATTTTCAGCACAAAATAATTTTTAAAATATATGAACTATTTTAATAATTGTTTATAGCACTCTTATTCAAATTTGCTTATTTTAATAAAAATAAATGTCTACAACTTTTTCAATTATTTTTATATTTTTTTCCGCGATGTCTGCTCGTCCGACGCTCACCAAAATTCTTAAATTATGAGAAGTCTGCAGATTTCGACATACATAAACAGAGATGTGAAAAGTTTTATTTTTACCGCATACATGTCTCAGACCGAAATTTGGTATGGAAACTTGAATATAAACGGTGCGATTTGGTAGCACGCATACCTTGTCTTGTAACACGTAGCATCGTCTATATCCTGCTTTACAAGGGTAAATGCTAGCATTTATTTCTTATATACTTAATTTATTTATTTATGTGTTTGAATCTATTAATAAATCAAACACTCATGCGATTTTAACGGATGACTCACATTCACAATAGATTGATTTTTGAAGTTGGCAGCACTGAAAAATTTTCACAATGGTAACACCTAATTCACCTAATTTTTATCAAATTTACCCTACATGATATTCTGGTAAATACCAATATTCGCTGCCATACCGACATAATTTACTATTTCGCTCAATTTACCATCAGTTTACTCGAACTCATACACGGCCTAAATAATACAAATTTAAATTAATTGAAATTTGTTTCTGTAATTTAAAAATTTATATTATGCGAATAATTTTATATTATATTAAATTATTATTTTCTCTACAATAATTTTTCTAGTGTTGATCAGCAAGAAAATTTAAAAATCCCTTTTATTCCATCTGCAATAAAAGTAGGCATTACTTTTCATTTGACATTCGGTCGTTAAGCTACGTATATTGTGGGATGCGTAAACAAAATTAAATTAAATTTATTTTAATTAGTTTTATAGAGTTTATCAGGATAAAATATATAGCTTTTCTGTGTACTCAAGAATTTAGCCATTTATTTATCATAGAATTGTTGTATCTTTAAGATACAAAACTGTTACAAATGTCATGAAGAAGACGTGGATAAAACGCGAAAATATTTATTACAAGCCGTTTTACAAACAAAAATCAAAACTTCTGTTACTAGGAATTTTTTTGTTAGGTATTATCTTTTTTACATACCAAGCGTTAACCATCAATAAATTGCCAAATTCGAGCACACCATGGAGTTTAGAAAATACAATGCAAGATTTAAAGAAAACGCATAAGCAACTTGTTCTTTCACTAGGTAAGAAGGAATCTGATAGCTTTGATTCTCATAATCTTGTTGACGATGCAGATCAAATAAAAATTATAAGGTATGTGCGGCAAATATCTATTTTCGCAATTATAATAATAATGCATATAATGTAGAGGTATACGACTTTTCGATTATGACGCGTATAAACCAAATTTTGAAGGAAAATTCAGATGTCTTGATGGAAGCATAGATATTCCATTTGACAGAGTAAATGATGATTATTGTGACTGTGAGAAAGATGGCAGCGATGAACCAAGTACAAATGCTTGCAATGCAGGGCGCTTTTATTGCAAGTATCAAAAACGTCATATCACTGGCAGAGGACTCGATGTTTTCGTGCCAAGCAGCAGGGTGAACGATGGAGTTTGTGATTGTTGTGATGGAAGTGATGAATGGATAATTGCCAAGTGTAAGAACAAATGTACATAATTTTCAAAATTATTTTCATTTTTTACTAGTACATTTGTTGAAATGTATAATGATTATGAAATGAAGGCTACAATAACATAGCCTGCAAAAATTAACTTTTTTCCCTAAATTCTTAATTTTTACATTAAATTTTAAAACAAAATGTGAACTATTTAATAACATATATATATATATAAGATTTGTAAATACTTCCTAATCTAAAAATTTTATAAGATTAAATTTATATCCCTAGAACTTCATCACAAGTTGAAATGTAAATTATATGAAATATAATAAATCAATGAAAAAATATTATAAATTAGACGTAGAAATAAATTAAAAACTAAGTTAAAAATCTTATGTTATACATTTAACGTAAGACTCGTAAAACTCATAAATATATGTATAAACAATATATATTAAGGTAAATTTTTCAGCGATCTACTCATAGCCAAATTTATCAAAGAATAACTTTAAAAAAGAATTATAATTTAAGCAAAATAAAATAAAAAATAGAACAATTCAAAGAAAAAATATGTATAACCTTTGGGAATATTTTTATATTAAGATATAATATTATAAGAACAATTTGTCTAATTTTAGCGGTTCATTTATTTGTATTTTAAACCTATTAAAAATATTAATTTTGTGTTTACATTTCGACTGAATGCTCAAGGCATAGATATTATTTATTTATACAATAAAAAAAATATTTTGTTAAATTGAAATAAATTCGAATGTAAAACTTAATTTATTGAACGAATTTAAAAATAAATTTTAGCTTAAGAAACATAAATCTTTTTCTTTTAATAATAAGAAGAATTATAACAGGAGATTAGTGATTAATATAGATTTAAAATTATAATATATTACACTTAACAACAAAACACTTTTTGCCAATTGTAGAATAACATATTTTACCCAGCCTCTAATATGATATCAGGCATATAAATATGCGCTTGTGGCATCTTATGTTTCCTGTTATTTTAAAAGAATATGTGTATTTTTGATACGTTAGAAAATGCTTCAATTCTATCTTTTTGTTGGAGAATTTATTGTCAACACTATGAAATATATAGTTAAAATAGTAATAATAATAAAATAGTTAAATTGCTATATATCGAAACAAATTCGTTGTTATTGGTTTACATGCTTCAATTATACTGCGGATCCTGAAGCAAAGATAAAAATATATATAATATCGAAAAATATATACAATATATAAAGGTAAAAAAATAACTTATTGCTTCTTACTTACATACATTGCAAACGAATAAGAAAAACTGATTCCAAGAACGGCATGATTTATGTCCCGGAGCCACTCCTTGAATTCGACGACCAAGTGCTGTTTACCACATCCAAAAGAGTCTACACAAATAGATCCCGCAGGCTAATATAACAAGGAGAAAACCTAAACTAAATTATAGTAATAAAATTTAAAAAATATGTATTGAGTAATTAACTTTGATTGTCTTTGGCTCTAAGATATTATGACTAATATAGCATTCATATATGCATTGAACTTATGATCTTATGATTAAGTAAAAATTAGAAATCTTCAACACTCGTGAATGTGTTACTAGAAGATATTACTCTTCTTTACTTCCTTCACTCAATGCGGTTTCACGAATTTGCAATATACTTGAAATTTATTCCTTTCATCTTATCGAAAATGTGTGTTTCAGCTAAATAGAAGAGCTAAATAAGTTTCAAAATGGCATGTTTTTATATTGTAATCATCAATCTATTGTCAACATAATATTACTAAAATTAGAAGCTTCGCAAGTTACTTTTTTAGAAGGTATTTCAAAATGATATTGAAAAATATTTCTTATATTAAGATTATCTATCATATTGTTTACTAATATTGATATATGTAACTATTTTTAATAAAAATTCTTAACGCTCTATATAATATATCATTTATCTAAAATTGATTATTTCAATTTTAAGCATTACATATCTAACTAGAATTTTTACTTAAAGTTTATACATTTTCTACCTGTGTAAAGATACTCGTATAATAAAAACAAAAGCAATTGAATTGAATTAAATTTTCATTTTATTATAAATACGTTTTAAATAAATGTTGTTTTAATTTTTTGTGTTTTTCATTATTTTTTTGTCATAGATTTATTCTTCCATTATTACTTATAACTTAATAAATTCTTGATTCTCTTGTTAGTAAAAAAATCTTCATACAATGCATAAACTTTTTGAAATCATATCATATTAATTTTATTAAGTCCAAAGCAATTACAATATTTTCCGAAATTTAAAAGTTCTGTGTTATAATTTTTAATGTATAATTTTTAACATTTTATGATTTGCCAAATGTACAACATATTTTTAATGTACAATTAATTTAAGCAATTTTGAACTGCAAATTCGAAAAGGTACAATTTTGTTTTTATTAAATAATTTTTAACAATTTTGTTTTAATTTATTTTTATTTACTTTTTACATTACATTGACAAACTGTAGAAAAGAAAGAAATTGAAAACAAAATTATAAGTTTTGCTATTTTTTCAATTATTTTTTTTTCCATTAGTGTGCGATTACAGTATACTTAAAAATGAATTTTATTTAATATTGTATATTTTATATTTATTTGATTTGATTTTTTTATTTTTATTTTTATAACTGCAGCGGTTTTACGGACTGAAGTACTACTTTATTAAATATAAAAAATATAAGTTTTAAGCATTATTATTTTTTTTTAATAAATTATTTTAGCTTTGTGATTAAACACAAAAATAAATTTAATTATATCATTTAATTTAATTACATTAAATAACATATGAAATTTGCAAACAAGTACTAGAAACACTTTTATAATTTGTTGTAGGGCTGAGTTATATGTGATGTATAGGCCCACGCACTAAGTTTATTTAAAACTCAAGACTTTAGAGACGCTTCATTGAGAGTTAAGTAAAATATGTATGTAAGGAAGTTCGCATTATAGTCTCCTTCTTCTCTGTCTTTCTTTAATACTACTCTGGTTTTATAACAAATTCTATATTAAGCAAGAAATAGGAATATTTTCTACCAAAGTAATAGTTATGTCTATTTTTTATTATTAGCAATATTTTGCTCCTAAGCTCATAGAGGTAAACTAGTCGAAGATCATATTTCATTAATGCATTCCCTCTGAGCATACTTATAAGTATTGTGTCAAAATGATTATCCAAATTACTGTAAACTGGTAGGAAGTTCTCTAACAGATTCACATTGGTCTTTAAGACCTAAATGGATCCAAGTTAAACGAATTGCCTTATAGAACTTTAACTTCCCCTAGATGAATATTCATTTAAATATTTTTGATTATTTAACATATTTACAGGTTTAGGAATAGAACAAATGTGTTTGAAAAATATATGAACTATATAAGAGATCAACACCGTTCAAATTTTCAAATTTTGACCTGAATGTATCATATTGGTCTTATTTTGTTGACGATTAAGCAAACAATCTTTTTAGAATCTACAATTCTATCCTATTTTTTTTTTTATGTGGAAACGAGCTTCGTGGATAATTCCAGGCCTTTCAAGTGGTCATAAACTGATAAATTTAACCTCGATCCGATCTCACGTGAGATCGCCAGTTCGCATCAACTAATATCTTTACCGTATCTTTATCAGCTTCAACCGGCCTTCCTGAACGTGGTGCATCTTCGACAAAAAATCGCCGTATCGAAATTTAGCGAACCAGTTCTGGCATTGGCGTACTGACAACACACCTTCTCCATACACATCGATCAATTTCTTTCTGGCTTGAACAGCATTTTTACCCTTTCTGTAGTAAAACAGTAAGATATAACGAAAATGCTGCTTATCGCTCTCCATATTTAAAAGGGAACCAACCAAAAACTACGGCTTAAATGTGAAGTTTTCACAAAATACAATTACATCCTCTGTCGGGAAAAAACTAAATTACTTTCCGAACTACTTAATAGCTACATTTCTGTACTAATTCGTTACCATGGATGAAAGATAGTTTCATTACTATATACCGGAGTTGAGAAAACAATTAAAATAATGTGCTTAATTCATATCGATTATTTTCCATTAAAGTTAATTATTAATTGTTTTTACTGCACAGTCTTCTTGCAAACACTTTGTATGAATAACGTCCAATTCGACCAAGAAAGAAGGGATCTTTAATCCAGACAATGTACAAGAGTTCAGGTGCATAACCTCGATTTTGTAAATTTTTTAATGTCGCTATGAATTGATTCCCATTTAGCATAATTACCAGTAATAGGGATCTACTGTTACTATGTTCTCTTTCGAAGCGTGAAGCAATGGTTGGAATAAAATCTTTAAAATCTCTTCTCTTCTAAAGTATAATAGACCATGCTATATTACATATATTATATTACATTCATCACGAAAGCACTTATACTGAACTCAACATGTGTTAATGAACTATTTTAAATAGTAGAGTTTTGAAGAATTTGCTAGCAAAAGTTTATCAATTGTAAACATAAATGTACATCTTTATATAAAAATAAATCTGAATGATAACGTTAATTTAAATTCCTTTAATTTAAGTTACCCAATAATAAAACTTAAAAAACGGCATTTAAAATTAAATAGGTTACTTTTGAAATGGCAGCCGAAAAGATGGTACGACTCTTTTATATATACATATATAAATAACGGCTAGCTAGAATACAATCAATCATTTACAATCATTTTAGAATTTTAAAATATTAATTAATTAATCGAATTTTTATTTAATAAATTATTGACAGCTAAAATAGATTAAAAACATAATGAGAAAAAATATGGTAATATTAAAGATAGAATCGTAACTAAATATAAATCCCAGTAATGATGTAAATCTGTCATACTTCAGGTATGGACTATGTTCTGATAAATATTCAAGATTTTAATCAAAATCGATATGTCAAATGTGATTGGTCTAGTTCAACACTAAGCAATTAGCATTTATACATAAAATGATAAATTTAAATCGAAACCACTGATTAACAAATTATAGACTAATGCCTTCCCATATGCGTTACAACAAACATCTTAATAAACTCAATACGAATATACATTTCTCACACTTTATGTTGAAGGTATAACCACAATTCTAGAAATTTATAATTGTTAAATTCGAGAAAAAAGAATAATATGCGCTTTAACTGCAAATGTAGTAACCTATAAGTTATTAATACTTAATTAATTTAATAATCATTATTATATCAATTCTGTTCTGCTCATTTCATTAATCAGACATAATTTTTTTTATGCGTAACTTTCGCATTATACTATTATTTATATTTTTATGTCATATAATTTATCAAACATTACCATTATGATTTTGTTTATGAACTTAAATCATTACTAATTTACGAGTATCTGTATGTTTACTAATCTTTATACAGATATTTTACACACATATAAAACAACTTAAAGTAATCATTTTCATACAAAAATACATAAGCCTGCAGTATTTACAACTACATAATATATTAAAAATGATTGATTAATTATTTTAAATTTAGTAAGAATATATATATTTATACTTTATATATAAAAAAAATATTAATATAATTAAAATGACAATACAGTAATTGAATAAAAATTAAATAAATAATTGAATTTCATGAATGGACAGATTATATATATTAAACTTCTAGTTTTATTGCACTGGGAGGATAAAATAAAAATTTTTAAGAAATGAAAAATTCACAGAATTTAATATAAGTTTAAAAAAATTTCAAAAACGAAATTCATTACTCCAAATACAGAGAAAAGGAAATTTAAATGAATTTAAAAACTAAAATTAAAAAGAACCTTGCTTATAAGTCAATTGAGTGAAGGATTAATTTGAAACTGGAAATTTTCGGAAAGCAAATTGAACATATAATATTAATAAAATAATAATATAAACTGCGTTCCTTCAATATGATTCAACAGAAAACTATAATTTAAAACTATTTTGTGCGTGATTTTGATTACTATTTAAAACGTACATAAGTAATGGCTATCCGAGTTTAAGCTATGTATTAGATAACATGTTATTGATTTATTAATTATTAGGATGAGAGCTCAGTGTTCAGATGCATTATCATAATGAACCTCTGATCCATAAATTTTATGCACTATAATTCAGCGTCTAACGAAAGCTTACTTAAAATTCATTTAAAACAAATTAACTTTCTAAAAATCTGCTTAATACTTTTAAACCATTTTAGTATTATTATGACGGATGTTATTTTTGCTGTGTGTTGAAAAGTGAGATTTATTAAAACTGGTGATAAAAGGTGTGAAGAACTTATTGCTTCTAGAATTATGTTCATGATAATCATGAAGTTTATATTCATGATAATCATGAAGTTTATATTCATGATATTCATTTAAAAAACTACTCTTCTTTTTAAGGGCAAAAAACAGCACAGTTTTAACCTAAAGCTTAAACGAATAATATAGCTTTTGTAGCTTACGTTTGGACTTAGATTTGTGTTGATGGTGATGCTGGTGCAAATGACGTTGGCGCTGATGATTGTGATGATGCTGATTATGAAGTTGATGTTGTCTATAGTTATGTATATTTACAAATGATGAAGTTGCAACACCAGTAAGCATGTGTTGTCTTTGTTTATTAATTGTTGTTTTGCGCAAATAATGATAATTACGTCGACGATAATGTCACTTCTCCTCAGCTGTATTTTCAGCTGTCACCTTAATTGCATTATTTACTTGTGGTAGTGTAAGTTGATCATTATTCTGTGTATTATTTGTTTGCGCAGTTTGTGATGTAGTTTGAGACTGTTGCTGCTGTTGCTGATGGTGTATATGTTGACAAAATGCTTGTAGCACTTCAAAATGTGTCATCAAATTTGCAGTTTGACTATCATAGTGTAAATGTCTTGTAATGGGTGCTCCAAGCCTTCGTAGCATATCAGTAAATATTTTCTCTTCTTTTCTTATCCAAGGTCGCCTATCGTCCTGTACTTGGTACGGCGTTAAATGCACATGTATATTCATACCTTGAAAAAAAAAAAGAGTTAGATAGGCAAATCTTTTTTAATAATATTTTTGTTTACAAACCCATTCTTGTTAAAGTTTCCAATAAACTACGCGAAGTAATCCATGTATTCTTTTGTCCTCCATGACCTCCATCCAGCCAATACATGTCTTTAATGCGTGATAACAAACGTATCATGGTACTGTCATCGGGTGTTAATGTTTTAAGATAATGAAACTCATAAATGAACTAAAATAAATGAATATAGATGTGACATTAGTTATTAATAAACATTTTATTTTGAATTATAATTAACAATAAAACATAAACTGACCAGTTTATACTGAGCTAAAAAAAATATTCTATAAAACGGAAACCTTCCTCTCGACCATTTCTTATCCCAAACATCCCAACTCTTTTATTTTCACTTTTTCCTACCTAAACCATATTTTACCCCATGTATTTGTGTCTTGTAATTCCTTCC